GCGGCAGCAGCAGCAGCAGCAGCTGCTGCTGCTGCTGCTGCTGCAGCACATGTAGGTGCAGTGAGCGCCAGAGGGCCTTCAGAACAGAGAGAGGACGGACTGTGCAGCACGCGGGGGGCCTCAATGGAGCAGCAGAAACAGTTTTTGCTGCAGCAGCAGCAGCGGCAGGAACAGCAGGTGCAGCTGCAGCAGCTGCAGCGGGAGCAGCAGCAGGGCCACCAACAGGTGCTGCAGGCTGCCATGGATCGGCTGGAGCTGCTCAGAAAAGAAGAAAAGAGAGACAGCAAGCTGCTGCGTCTAGATGCTTCGAAGCAGCTGCATCAGCAGCAGCGTGTGCTGCTGCTGCTGCAGCAGCGAGCAAGGCGCATGCAAAAGGAACGGCAGGCGCTCATGCTGCAGCTGCAGCACCACCTAAACTGCTACCAGTTGCAGCGGCAGCAGCTGCAGCAGCTGCAGCAGCAGTATTTGCTGCAGGAACAGGCACAGCAGCATCTTCAGCAGCAAAGCAAGCTGCAGCAGCAGCAAAACGCTCATCCCAACATGGAAGCGGCGTGGCAGCAGCAGCAGCAGCTTGATAGGCTGAAGCATTCGCAGCAGCAGCGGCAGCTTCTGCAACGGCATCGCGAGCAGCAGCAGCAGCAGCAGCAGCAGCAAACCCTCCACACCCCTCAGGGCCCCTTTCACAGTCACCGCCCAGGCGCCTGATGGGGCCCCCAAGCAACTTGTCAGGGGCCCCTTGGGGGCCCCCTGCGGGCCCCCAAGGGGCCCCTCGAGGGCCCCCAAAAGCCCCTTTGAGGGCTTCTAGGGGCCCCTTTAATTGTTCCAAAGGGGGCCCTTTCGAACGTCCCCAGAAGCCCCTTTGGGGGCCCCTAGGGGGCCCACAGGGGGCCCTTTCGAGGGTCCCCAGAAGCCCCATTTGGGGGCCCCAGGGGCATCCTTGAGGGGCCCCAGTTTAGGGCCCCCAGAAGGCCCCCAGAAGCCCCTTTGGGGGCCCCCAGGGGCCCCCTACTGCCTTAGGGCAGTTCATATCTTTTGGCATTTCTTTCTTCCCAGTAACAACTGCTCTGCTGGACCCTATACCGCAAACCCTGAACCCTAAACCCTAAACAGCTGAACCCTAAACCCTAAACCCTAAACTCTTTACTGCAGACCTGTACATCAGCCTCTAAACCCTAAACCCTAAACCCTGGACTCCTAGCAACAGACTTGTACACCAGGTCTGAACCCTAAACCCTAAACCCTAAACCCTAAACCCTAAACTCTTGACTGTAGACTTATACTTCAGCCCCTAAACCCTAAACCCTCGGCAAAGAAGACCCTCAGACTCTTCCTTTGTCGAAGCTCCACTAAAAAGCGGCCCATCCTTTGCCTGTTGGCAGCAGTGCATGCATGCAGTTGCAGTGCATGCATGCATTAATTGTGCATGCATTTATTATGCATGCATGCAGGTATAATGCATGCATGCAGCTATAATGCATGCATGCAGCTATAGCGCATGCATGCATTTGCAGTGCAGCGCATGCATGCATGCGTTGTAGGCGCATGCAATCGTGACCACACTGCAAAGGCGCTGCTGGCTGCATGCAAATTGCTGCCTTCCTGCATGCATGCATGCATGCATGCATACATGTTTTGCTGTGCTGCTGCCTGTTTGCATGCACGCATGCATGCAGGCAGCGAACGCAGACAGTCCGAATACAGCAGAGAAAAAGGAGCGTCTATCGAAGAGTGCCTGCTGCAGCTGCTGCTCGTCACGCTGCTGCTGCTGCTGCTGCCGCTGCTGCTGCTCTTCCTCCTGCTGCTGCTGCTGCCCCTGCCTCTAACCCTGCTCCTGCCTCTTCTGCTGCGAAGCTGCTGCTGCGGCTGCTGCTCCTCCTCCTCCCCCGCCGCTCCTCCGCCTCCTCCGCCACC